AAAATCTTTAAAAAAAAAAAAAATTAAAAACATGGATTATACTTAAGCATTTCTCAGAAAATCATTCTCTCACTTAGCTTCTGGTGCCATCAGCTGGCCATTTTGTCTGTTTAAAGCAGCACCATTGCACATCAGCCTGAGTTCAGTGTTTGGTCCTTCACCACCGATTAGGTCATTGTTTTGAGACCTGTCCCTTTATCTCCTATTGTGGAAGGAGAAACAGGACCGTGACCAAGCAGGTAATCAGCACTCCAGAATTCTGGCCTCAGCTTCTTAAATAGAAGAAACAACAGCTTTTAAAAGTGTCCCGGAAGCTGGAAGAATTAGCTAGTTCCTGCGTTCTAGGACAAGGCTTCTCAGACTTTGGAAGTGTGCCTCTGAGTCACTTACGGATCTTCATAAAAGGCAGGTTCTCATTTAGGAAGTCTGGGGTGGGGCCCGAGAGTCTTCATTCCTAACGAGCTCCCAAGTGGTTCCGTCGCTGCTACTCTGTGGACCATAATGAGGAGCAAGATTCTGGAGCTACATTGTCTGATACGGTAGTGCTGAAGATACCCCAGATTTTGAAGACTTCATATAAAAAATAAAATATCACAATAATTTTTATATTGATTGCACATTGAAATAATATTTTGGATATACTGGGTTATGTATTAAAGGATTTTTTAAAGATTTATTTATTTTTAAAGGTTTTATTTATTCACTTGACAGAGAGAGAGAGCACAAGCAGGAGGAGAGGGAAAGGGAGAAGCAGGCTCCCCGCTGAGCAGGGAGCCTGATGTGGGACTCGATCCCAGGACCCCAGGATCATGACCTGAGCCAAAGGCAGACACTTAAATGACTGAGCCACCCAGGCGCCCCAAGATTTATTTATTTTAGAGAGAGAGTGCGTGTGCAAGCAGGGGGAGGGGCAGAGGAAGAGTATCTCAAGCAGACCCGCCGCTGAATGTGGAGCCCGAATGGGGGCTTGATCTCACAACCCTGAGATCACGACCTGAACTGAGATCAAGAGTCAGACATTTAACTGACTGAGCCACCCACGTACCCCTAAAGATTTTATTTTTCAGTCATCCCTGCACCCCACTTGGGGGTTGAACTTACAACCCCATGATCGAGAGTCACATGCTCCACCAACTAGCCAGGTGCCCCTCTTTTTACTGTTTTTAAGGTGACTACTAGAAAATTTAGAATTTCACACATGCCCTACATTATGTTCATATCGGACAACGCTGTTCTAGAACACTAATGTAATAGAAACATTATTGGTGTTTTTTTTTGGTTGACCCCATTTCTCAATCCCCTTGTTAACCATTTCACCTTCTGTTAGCTCAGTTCATTATTTGTATCATTCTTTTCTCTGAATGTTTGCTGTTCCCGCCATTACTCTCCTTCCCACCTTCCTCATCTCCATCTTTGCCATCGTTGTTCTGGGCTTCCATCCAGTCGTCCAATGGTCCTAAGAGCCACCATACAGGCAAGCAGCTTTGCTCCAAGCTTCTGGCCATGACACTCAAAGTGTGGTTCCTGGAGGCAAGAGCCTCACTGGGAGCTGGTTAGGAATGCAGAGTCTCCGGCCCCACCCAGACCTGCTGAAGTAGTCTTCTATTTAACAGAACCCCCAGGGGATTTGTCTGCTCCTGAAAATGTGCGTGGTGAGGGCTTTGCCAGTCATCTTTCCTAAAGCAACCCCATTTCAGTTCATCTCCACATCTGTTCCTTCGGTTGGATTTGATGAAGTCTCTACGAGGCTGAGATAACCCTGAAAGTTGTGCCTCAGAGAAACTAGCACTCTCTCTCAAAAAAAAAAAGTATATATATATATATAGTTAAGCAGTGAATTTGGGGCACATGGCATCCAGAAGGTGAGTCCAGAGATTGAAATCCTATGACTTCCTGCAAATAGATTGAGATAACCTTCTGTCTCTCAGAGACACATGACCATGCCCTCCCCCCCGTCTCCGGAGCGTTAGAGCTGCTGGGGAAATGGACCTCACCTTGCTGGGTCTAGTTTACAGCTGCAGTCACTGGCCACAATCCGAGCTCAACATACACCATCCCTGCAGCCAGACGTCTTCCTAGGCGTGGGCTGACTGCGGGGGCCTGAGGAGGGAATGTGTGGTTGCTGGCTCCAGGTCAGGAAAGGGGGCACCTACCAGAATACAGGCCCCGAGTCCCGGTACCAAGCCCTCCAAGTGACTTAGGGGCCCAGCAAGTCAGAGAGGCACTGCTCTGTGGCCTGTTCTCCATCCCGGGCTATTAGCATGGATCACATTTGGGGGCATCTTTAATTTCTCTTTTATGCCACAGGCTCATTGGGCTCCCTGAGGCCCATGCCTGGCACAGAGTAGATGTTGAAAATACTCACTGAACAAATTAGCATTCTCTTTTGTAAAGTCCTAACACCCAGCATCTCTGACTTGACCCAGTGGGCAGGGATGGGGACAATGAGAGGCCTTAAGCCAAACTGCAATCAGGCTGTTTAGCGCAGATGCGTCCTCAGAGGAAAAGCAGGGCTGAGGGGAAGTGAGGGTGGAGAGCCGGCCCCGAGTCGAGGCACACGCTCACAGAAAGGAATTGGGGCACACTGTCATGACTCCCGGTTTCCCCTTACCAGCACTTCTTGTCACCATTTTCCTGTGGCTCTTTTTTAATGTCACGATGAGCTCTAATTTGAGCCGCTTTTATTGTCCCCCGGAGACTTTTGAGTTGCTCTGTGGGTATCACAAAACCTGAAACCCAATCCGTATATCCTGGGCTTTGGGGAAGTGGGACCATGGGTGCGCAGGTTATTTTTAGCAGTCGTTGGGAGTAGAGCCAAAGCTCCCAGAGATACAAAAAGTATTGAGAATCGCCCGATCGGCTGTTGGAATTAGCCGTTAAACAAAACAGTCAGTAACTGAGCACTGGGGACTTTCTTGAACTCCATTTGGGTGGGAGGCCTTCCAGTGTGTGTGTCAGCCCCGAACTAGGACAGAAAGGTAGAGACGGGCAAAGCAGCTGATAAAAGCACTCTCCTCTCCGCCCTTTGTCTGGGAGTTTCGCCTCGTCTCAGACTCACTTCCTTTCTTTGTCGCCGCACTCTATTCCAATGCTGTCCTGCCTGGTCGGATTTACTAACTAGCAGAAGAGAAACCCCAAGGGAGGCCCCGGGCTTGCGTTCCATAATGAATCTGATCCAGGTACTCGATGCTGTCTGGTACACAAAGGAATCTTGTTCTATGGATTGAAAGCAGAAATAAGGGAAGGGACATTTTGGACATTGACTCGGGTCTCATTCACTTAATCATTTACAGGGGAGCGGATTCTTTGTCGTAGCGATTTCAGAAAAGTGCTGGTGTTTATCATTTATCTTTTCCCGAGTGTACTTCCGAAAGACTTGACACACAATAAACAAAACCAGTTTTCTAAAGCGCCACTTTCCCTGGCATGCTCTGTTTCAAAATCGAGCCCTTCACAGCCACTGAGCATCTTACCAACACCACGTTGTCACCCCCCTGGGACTGACATACAACCTGAATGCCATACTTTTCGGAAAGAAGTTACGAGTTTAGACCATCACGTCCATCACAGAATTGAAAACGAGCATTGGCATCAGGCTTGGAAAAGTACATTTCATTATATTTATTTTCCATAGAGAGAGAGGTTAAGAATATGGTATTGTCGTTCTAAAGATGACCAGGATCCTCTCAGGACCGGCTAGACTGATTACTCAGAGAGATGCCCGTAAAATAACAGAAATGTACATATTTAAAAGGCAGCGGGGTCCACTAGCCTGCATCTGCAGTAAGCATCCTCAAAGCTTGTTAGAGACCAGCGTGGGCTCATAGAAGTTGGCAGCCAGAACTGACAGGGGACGAAAGGTAAATGAGCTGAGAGCAAACCTGCTGAAATTATTTGGTGCATGATTAAGCAACTTTGGGCTGAGGGCGCTGGCTTAGGTATATACCACTTCCTACCTAGGTTAGAGACCAGTGGCCCTCAGCTAGAATTTACAGGATTTCAAATGGTAAAAGCAGCTATTTAGAGCCTCAA